CCAGATCTACGTAGCAGGATACTTTTGATCTGCTTTTAGTCGAGTTGATTACTTTTAAAACAAACGTGGAAAACCGTTTGCAAAGACCTACGTATATGTCAATAATCTGTTCTAGTTGGCCTGAGCTCCACAGGGCTGAACGGGATCCACATCTGCTACCTTTCACACACTCTGCTGGCTTTAATGAAGGGATGAAGACAATCTGTCCACCCCAGAACCTCTTGTATCCGGTCGCTCGCTCCTTCGTCACCGCACTGCCAAAATCCAAAACTGGCCTCTGAATTTGTTCGTGTTGCAACTCCTGAGCCCACGGCGGGCTCCTAGACGGCCGGATTAAACACCCAACAGAAAAATTCTGAAGAAAAAACATCTCGTCACTGCAGCCAGGAATCTGTGTTTTTGTTTCAGCGTGAAGAAGTCCTGCAGACAGCGAGGACTGTAGCAACGTGTGTGTGTGTGTTTTGACTGGGAGCATAACCTTGTGGCATCAGAACCATTAGGCTTCATGCCCCACAGCTGTTAGTGATACTGGGTTTTCATGTAATGACATCATGTATAACTGCAGGCAGCAGCGGCGTCTTTGGAGCGCCGAGCCAAAAACCTCCCAACATCTCTCCCAAAAGCAAGAACAAAGAGAAATTCAGCAAGTGGAGGGAAATCTGGGACACTCGGAGGACAAGTTAAAGAAAATTCATCACCATGCAATTGCCTAAGTCTGCACAAGTTCAAATTATTATTGATATTAAATTGGCTTCTTGATTAAAATGAAATAAACCTAAAGAAAATTTGTTTTGAAATGAGAAACATAAAGTATGAAAAGACTAAAATACAACATTTCAAGAGCAAGTCACCCTCTACCTAAGTCCAACTCCACTCATTTCCTGTTTAAAAAATGCGCCACAGGGAGGCGTTGCCTGGCAGACCGAGAGGGCGGAGCGGCTAACAAATACACACACACATAGGCTCACTGTGGCATTGTGACATCATATGGTACCAGCTAACGTCTTGAGGTGCCTCTTAGCCAATAGCGATAGCAGATATGAATTCAGATGTAGTGCAGAGTTTTTAGACAGAATATTTAAATTTAACGACTACACGTGTCTGCAGCATGATTAGACACTCATTTCTATAGTTTATCAGCAAAAATATTGGTTTGGGGTGACTTGCTCTTTAATTTCTTCCTGTTGGACAAATAAAGTTCAGCAAAACATCTGTACCACTTTACAAAAAGGTTCCTCCTACAAATGATATGTAGTTTATAAATTTGTTAGTATTCAATTAGTAACTTTATAAATCATTTGTAGTTGTGTATTACTGTAATTATATATGTTTTGGCTAAGTATTTAGCAAGAAACCAGTCATTTTTCAATTTCTTTCCCTTAATGTCTAATAAAGACATTAACCTTTTGATGCATAATGGTCTCCACAGTGGACAGGTACTCAAAATTGTTATTTATTTATTTATTTATTTTTGTTATTAAGCACAGCTGTTGAAGACTTCATTGCATTTGAGCCCCTCCATTTGGACTTCAGTAAGTCAAGCCAACATATTTCATGTTCAGAATGCACGCTGTCCACTGAGGTGGACATGTAATAAACTATTTGAAAATTATTAAATGTTACAAAAAAAATTTGTTGAAATTGTTTCATTCACACCTGAAGATGAATGAAATAAAAAAAAATCATGGTTGAAGATTTCATAATTCATGCATCAAAGGGTTAATGATTTATATAGTGTTACAGGTTAATTAAACATTTATAAACTATTGATTAGCCATTTATAATGAGGTTCTTATTATAAAGTGGTACCAAAACTTCTCATGAATCAGTGGGTTGAATTTAATTATGTCTATTACATCTACAAAACATTAGCCAATTAAATATGGCTGCCATAGCTTGGTGACATCAGCCAACACACAAATAGTTCAAAATAAGTCATTTTCACAATTTGGTGTTAGCTTTATTCATGACCCAAACTTATTATTATTTATTATTGCAAATCTTTATAACTTCTATTATACTATTCTCATTCAAATTTAAAATATCAACCCCGGTGTTATTGTAGTTTATAACAAAAGTATCTATCTATCATCTATCTATCTATCTATCTATCTATAGATATAGATATAAATATAAATATAGATAGATAGATAGATAGATAGATAGATAGATAGATAGATAGATAGATAGATAGATAGATAGATAGATGATAGATAGATAGATAGATAGATAGATGATAGATAGATAGATAGATAGATAGATAGATAGATAGATAGATAGATAGATAGATAGATAGATAGATAGATAGATAGATAGATAGATAGATAGATAGATAGATAGATAGATAGATAGATAGATAGATAGATAGATAGATAGATAGATAGATAGATAGATAGATGGATAGATAGATAGAATTTCTTGCTATGATTTCACCAATTACATAGAGATTAAGATTTACACATTTATATCTTTGTTTAGCACAACTAGTCACACTTGCGACGTGACAGTTTCATGAACCTAGCACTATTAGTTTTAGAGCTGCGACGGTTAACACCCTTAAAGAGGTAGCTTCAGGAACGCAGTTCTCCTGTTCTGCAGACACACCCGTTTTTGAAACAATTAGAAAATTCTGGCAGATCTACATCACACTGCACTTAGCATTCATGAACTTGCCAATCTTGACTTCTAATGAAACAAAGCTGTTTCTGTTTTAGCGTCCAGGAAACAGCAGAGAACATCTCAGCAAGTAGAAGCTAACCGTTAGCATTAGCAACTCCACCACACAGTAGAACTCCTCTAGGCTTGTGTTATTTGTGGAGATAAAACATTGTTGAAGAGGAAACTGAGTCAGTGGTAGAGTCGTGTTGCTTTTATCCAATCAAAGGCGACATGTCCAAATATGAAATAAAAGTCCAAATCCTGCCGTGTTTTGCCTCCATTTCCTCTGGACCACTTCTAATTCCTGAAACAGGAGTGCGAGACCTTTTCCCCACAGAGATGCACTCAAAAGGCATTCATTTATACCAGAGACCACAGCAAATGTGTTAAAAAATGAGTGAACTTGGACTTTAATGTCCAAACCAAATCAAAGAAATTAAAATCAGTTTGTATTACTCGTGCTGTTTGCCACCAGTTTAAAATAAAGAAAAAGCTGATTAACAAAGAGTTGGTGCTCAAGTTGCATAAATTTAAATCTACAAACAAAATGAGGTCATCATTTCCTGCATTTTTTCAGGGTTTAAATGTTAAATACTGAAGAGTTAGAGAATAAATGAACCACAGTCTGTCTGGTGTCGAGACCGAGGACTTTAACTAGACCGGCTAAACGCTTCCTGTTAAAATCCACCAGCGGGGAACCGAAAATGTTTTCTCTACAAGCAAATCCAGCATGAGAACACGTTCAAGAACCAAAATAGCTTCATAATAAAAGCTGAAAGGAATGGTTTGTTCAGCCGAAGCCAGCTAAAGGCGGAGAATAATTCACATTAAATTCTGGGAGATATTTTCTACCAGTTTTACTAAAGCTTCTGATCTTATCCAGTGTGAAAATAAACGGGTATTGTTTCTGCCGAGCCCCACGCTGCTACATGTGGAGGAAAGATACAAACTGATCACACAATAAGAAGTAAAGCCTTGTCTTTAGTTCCCCTTTTAAGATTAAATCAAATCACACTAAACTGTTTTAATCTTTAAAAAAAGAAAATGCATTAGCTTTACTAATAATTATTTAATCAATAATTCAATAAAGATAAACCATAAAACCGGTTCTTTTTTTAACCAAAGGGATTCTGGTTTGACTTTATTACGTATTAAGTGGGAATAAAGGTTAAGAAAGGAACATTGTAATGGTGTAGATTGGTGGTAAAATGTGACATGTTTTTGTTCCAGATCCCTTATAAAACACTGTAGATTATGCCCAGATCATAAGACCTCCACCACCATGCTGATGGCTGGCACCTGCTGTTTCATAGAGCTGATAATGAATTATAAATGGTGTTAAATTGTTATTTTTTGATCATTATTGATAAATGACTCACACTTGTGTAGCACCATTCTGAGTCAAAGGACTCCAAAGCACTTTACACACACACACACACACACACACACACACACACACACACACACACACACACACACACACACACACACACACACACACACACACACACACACACATCATAGCCACAGTTGCCCTGGGACACACTGACAAAAGCGAGGCTGCCGTACACAAGCACCAACGGTTCCACCGACCACCACCAGACAATAATTGACACTGAGCTTGTCTTTGAACCAACAACCCACCACTTACATGATCAAATTTTATAAAAATTTTTGGAATTCTCCTTCCAGGTTGAGGTTTCTCTTAATTTTGGGCCAAAACCAAACATTTTGATGTACTGGTCAATCTACATCCCAACCCTCCGCTATGTCACGCGATCTGGAGCTCGGAGTAGCTCATCGAAATGAGTCAGCTAGTTGGCATCCTCGTTCGACCTAGAACCTGGATGGATCCTGTATCCTCTCTAGAGGGACGGAGGGAGGATGGATGGATGGATGGATGGATGGATGCTGAAAGAGGAGGTCCAAAACTAAAAGTAACTCATCTGAATCTGAGTCTTTTCAGTAAATTTGGCCAATCTGAGCAGCTTCCTGTTGGATGCGGTCCTTTTATGAACTGTGAATTTTCTTGTTTCACCACAAAAACCTTCCCTCTCAGCTACAGCTTGACCTCAGCAAACGCCGGCTAACCAAAATAAGACCCTGCCCTTAAATCTCTCCGCATGTGAAGAATGCACGGAGAGCTCCAAGTCAAATGGGAATCTTCCTCCTCTCGTGATATATAGTCACACAGCTGGTTGGGTTTCCTCTTTCCTCTCATTTTTCTCTGTGAGTGCTGCAAACAGAAAGCTCTCTCTCTCTCTCTCTCTCTCTCTCTCTCTCTCTCTCTCTCTCTCTCTCTCTCTCTCAAATGTCTTGTTTTCCTTCCCTCACATGTACTGATCTGGTGCTTCTACCTCGTTCTGCTCCACCCACCTGCAGATAAAAGCCAAAGTTTGACTGAAGCTGCTGCAAAACTCCTGAAAGCGCCGTGAAACTCCCACCCTGCAGCAGAAATCAGAGGTAGGACGTCTGTTTGATCCGTTTTTTAGCTACATCAGACCAAATTGTTTTCTCTTCTTTTGCTCTCGCTTGTTCAGATTCGAAAGGGGAAAAAAAGAAAGGAAAATGTCAACTAAGAGCATATGTTTCATTAGACATCCCAGCTGGGAAGATTCTGCAGTTCAAATCTGACAGTTTTCCTCAAACATGGAGAAAAATAAATGAAAAACCCAGGAGATCCACCTGGGATGAATAACTCCAGCTTTTGCTTGTTAAAATAAATGTTCTGTGCAGCATCTTGACAGGATTTGATCCCGGAATGCTTCCACAGTATAGGATTGCCTTAGTTGTCAGCAGCTCTTGGGGAAAGAAGGGTTTTCCTTCAGGGTGTGAAGAAGAAATGCAGAAAATTCCTGGCAAATTATTCAACTTGTGTGTCTTGTTTTCCTGTTTTGAAACTCTGACGGGATTGGTCATCTGGGAAGTCCCAGTTTTTCCTTCACACAGATTAGACATCTCTTTCTTCTGCACATTTTTCCTCCTTCAGTAGCGAGGAGGAACCAGATCTGATCTGGGTCCAGCAGCGGAACGCGCCTGCAGCTAACGAGCTTCACAGACTTCTCTGATTAAAAGCTTCTCAGCAGCTTTTTGTAATAAAATCTCAAACTGAACTGAGATGGAGGGATTTATGTGTCGCTGCTTTTCCTTCCAGCTAATTAACCTGGCGAGAAGTTCATGAATTTCGTTTAGCTTTACTTTTTTTTGAGGGGGGGGGTTACTTTCTTTTTTTCTATAGCTTAATCCCTGAATCTGTTTACTTTTGTATCAGGAAAGTCTAACTGTTGGTAGCATCAGCATCACCGTTCCAAGTTCCTGAAGACTGTCGTTCAAATAATCTCAAACTGATTATAGAATAATCCTTCAGATGTAGACATTTCTAACTTGAGAAGAACTCTGGTGTTAGTGCAGATGTTTGTAGCGTTTTGGAGGTGAAAGGTGTTCTAAATGTATATTTTTCATTTTGGGGGAAATTTGTGATCAATCACAAATGTTTCTTTAGATCCTCAAACTAAACAAACTAGAACTAAAGCATGAAATACTTCTAGATTTACATCCAACTACGTTTGATCTAAACTGCTAAGTAGACAGAGTTGTAGCTCTTTATCATGCCTCGTAAATTTTCTACAGCAAAGCCAAGCTGAACAGGAGGAGACGGGAGGATCGTATTTTTACTCTAATGGCATTTCGGAGCAAACCCCCAAACCTCTTTATGATCTCTGTAAACTCGTCCAAAACTCATCTTGCGCTTTACCCGTTTATGAAGCCCAGTTAGAAAACAGCCATCTTTAAAGTGAAATCATCAGCTGTGATTTTACAGAAACATAATAACTTTTTTTTTTTACTGTTGGACTGCTCCCAGTGGGCAAATTACACCAATTACTGGTCATCTGAAAAGTTTCATGTTCTCATGTTTGACGTCCTGCGTGATTAAATAGAAAAAGCATGAACTATATGGTGCCTGGTACCTGAATATAGCTGAGACAGAGCTGAAGTAGACAGAGCTCCCATCAAAAATAGGAGCTTTAACAAAGTGGTCTGTGCTAATACCAATCAACTCTTTTCACTAACAGTAATCTACTTTAGTACTATAGTATTCCATGGTAATACCACAATGGTACAATATCATAGCGGTCCACACCAATACCATAGTGGACCAGGCTAAAACCATAGTGGTTCACACTTATACAACAGTGGTCTGTGCTAATATCGTAATAGTTTAAATTAACAGTAATCCACATTAATACCATAGTAGTCCATGCTAATACCATAGCAGTCCACGCTAATATCATAGTGAACCACGCTAATACCATAGTTGTCCATACTACTGCCATAGCAGTCCATGCTAATACTATAGTGGTCAACGCTAATACCATAGTGGTCTGTGATAATACTACAGTAGTCCATGCAAATACCATAGTCGTTCACACTAAAACCATAGTTGTCCATGCTAATAATATAGTGTTCCACTTTTAGACCCCTGTGATTTGTAGTAATGTCACAGTAGTTTGTCAAATACCATATTGGTCCATGCTAATATTGAAGTGGTCTGCGGTAATACTATAGTAGTCCATGCTAATACCATAGTGGTCTACACTGATGCAATTTTGGTCTGTCCTAATGCCATAGTAGTCTGTGCAAATACCAGTCATCCACACTCAAACCATAGTGGTCCATGCTAATCACATAATGGTCCATGCAAATACCACAGTAGTCTGTCCAAATACCATAGTAGTCTGTCCAAATGCCACAGTAGTCTGTCCAAATACCACAGTAGTCTGTCCAAATACCATAGTAGTCTGTCCAAATACCATAGTAGTCTGTCCAAATACCATAGTAGTCTGTCCAAATACCATTGTAGTCTGTCCAAATACCATAAACCTCCACACTCAAACCATACATGTCAACTCTAATCATATAGTTGTCCACTCTAACAGTGTTCCACAATAATACCACCGTGGTCTGCAGTAATACCACAGTAGTCGATGCAAACACCACAGTGTTTCACACTGTCATTGTGGTGAGCACTAATTGCATAGTGGTCTGTGCCAATATTGGAGTGGTACACATCAATACTGTTGTGGTCTACGTTAATACCATGGTGGTACACATTAATACCGTAGTGGTCTACGTTAATACCATAGTGGTACACATTAATACCGTAGTGGTACACATTAATACCGTAGTGGTAAACATTAATACCGTAGTGGTCTACGTTAATACCATAGTGGTACACATTTATACCGTAGTGGTCTACGTTAATACCATAGTGGTACACATTAATACTGTTGTGGTCTACATTAATACCATGGTGGTACACATTAATACTGTTGTGGTCTACATTAATACCATGGTGGTACACATTAATACCATAGTGGTACACATTAATACCGTAGTGGTCTACGTTAATACCGTAGTGGTACACATTAATACCATAGTGGTCTACGTTAATACCATAGTGGTACACATTAATACCGTAGTGGTCTACGTTAATACCATAGTGGTACACATTAATACCGTAGTGGTACACATTAATACCGTAGTGGTACACATTAATACCGTAGTGGTCTACGTTAATACCATAGTGGTACACATTTATACCATAGTGGTCTACGTTAATACCATAGTGGTACACATTAATACCGTTGTGGTCTACATTAATACCATGGTGGTACACATTAATAATGTTGTGGTCTACGTTAATACCATGGTGGTACACATTAATACCATAGTGGTACACATTAATACCATAGTGGTCTACGTTAATACCGTAGTGGTACACATTAATACCGTAGTGGTCTACGTTAATACCATAGTGGTACACATTAATACCGTGTTGGTCTACGTTAATACCATAGTGGTACACATTAAAACCATTGTGGTTTACATTAATACCATGGTGGTACACATTAATACTGTTGTGGTCTACGTTAATACCATGGTGGTACACATTAATACCGTTGTGGTCTACATTAATACCATGGTGGTACACATTAATACTGTTGTTGTCTACGTTAATACCATGGTGGTACACATTAATACTGTAGTGGTCTACGTCAATACCGTAGTGGTACACATTAATACCATAGTGGTCTACGTTAATACCATAGTGGTACACATTAATACTGTCGTGGTCTACGTTAATACCATAGTGGTACACATTAATACCGCAGTGGTCTATGTTAATACCATAGTGGTACACATTAATACTGTAGTGGTCTACGTTAATACCGTAGTGGTACACATTAATATCGTAGTGGTCTACGTTAATACCATAGTGGTACACATTAATACCGTTGTGGTCTACGTTAATACATAGTGGTACACATTAATACTGTTGTGGTCTACGTTAATAGTGGCTCACATTAATAACATAGTGGTATTAACCGTAGATGCATTAGAGAATCTGCAAAACAGGCTAGATTTAAACTTAAATACAGTGACAACACTTACCACTGTGGTAGTTTGTTCTAAAGTTGAAGTGGTCGCAGCTGGCTGTTTCTCCTTCTCTGATATCTGACATGGCACGCTTATAAGACACAGCATTGCAGTAATATTACGCTGATTTGCCCACATGGTGTGTCTTGTAAAAAGGGCTTGATATCATTGAACGCACAACCTCTCACATCAGAGGTGTTATGTTGCTAAATATGCAAGTGCGTAATGAATGGAGGACCCAGGTAAATGTCAGAGTGTGGTGGTTTGGTGAGACTGACAACCAGATGGCCCAATCATTGACTTTGGACTGAAGCATTGACCAAGTTATTAGGTTTTTAGACAAATGCAAGTGACCCACTTTTATTTAGCTATTTTTAAAGGTATTTTAAAGCCAGTTTTGTCTTTCTCACCCAGATGAACTTTTCTTTGTCAATTTTATTTCTGATATTTAAACAGAATTTTTATCCTTTGTTAAAAGAAACTGTGAAACTAGCATTTTCTGCTCTCTTTGGAGCTGCTGTTTACCATTTTAAAAGTTAAGTCCATAAAAACTTAACCTTTACATGTATTTGGGCCTTCAGTAGATTAATATTATACAGGAAAGACTGATTTTAAGAGCCATTATTTGACCTTTGTAGGCTAGGCATTTCAAAAAATCTTATTTATGCTTTAGAAAGCTGCAAAAATTCCCTAGTGGAGTCTGTGGTTTTTAGCATGGTATAAGTTATCAGATCTGGTTATTGGCCAAACGTCGTCATTGCCTATGAAAATACTCACTCGCCTGCAGAAACTTTCATTTGCGAGCCAGTGCAAATATGAAAAAGTGGTGAAACCACATGGCATTCCGGTTAAAACCTGGAATGGTCTGACTTTAATCTAAAAGCTTTGGAAATTCACAAAAGCCTCAGAAGTGTTTCCTTCCTGCTGTGCGAGAAAGAGGAACATGTCTTGCAAAACTAACTTTGTAAACCTCTGTTAAAGAATGCAAAAACTGACACCAGACACTCTGTTTTGACACAACTCCA